TAAGAGCCCTCCTGAAATCCATATTTCTTGACACTGGCCAAGGGCCAGTTTTGTAAGCATTGACTAGGCAGTTAGATCTGTTATATCAACTCTTTTTTTCTGCAATGTGTGGGTATGTATAAATGCAACAGTTAGCATATAGTGTGCTATCATTAAATGTTAGCTGTTTTTATTTATTATAGGGATTCTTCATCAATTACCACCACTACTAATACTTTTAATTGTGTTCTCCTGCTTTCTGAGGTTATGTTGGTCAGTATTTTTGTCCTCATTTGATAGGTGAGGAGACCAAAATAATATTTCTACATACTTTCACTTAATTGACAGAGCAAGTATCTGAACCTAATATTATCCCCCTTTTCCAAGCCTAAATGGGAAGGAGGAGGGAAAAAGAGGTTATTTTTCCATCTTGGCATTGCTAGAAGGCATTTCTAAAGTGGGAAATAGGATTAAATGTTTAAGTTAATGTCACATTGGATCCATTCACAATTTTTTATGCTTAACTGTTTTGGTATTCAAGAATTACCTTAAGCTATCTATTCTTAAGCTTTTTTTTTTTTTTTTCCCCATTTAATGTAGTATAATCTTGTTGGGGCAAAAATGATCTTGACTATTCAGCATTTTATATTCTAACCCAAGATTATTTATATTGTTACTAATTCTTGTGAGTATAAATTGGTATCCTACCCTTACCCCTATCCATTACCTTTTTTAAAAAAATTTTTTATAGTTGTAGATATTGTAGACAGTGCCTTTATTTTATTTGCTTATTTTTATGTGATGCTGGGGATCGAACCCAGTGCCTCACAAATGCTAGGCAAAGCGCTCTGCTGCTGAGCTACAGCCCCAGCCCATCCTTTACCTTTTGATCTTACATCAGAGGCATAATGAGATTTCAGTCAGTATGCTTAGTTTCTACATAGCATTATATAAACTTTGATATTTCTTAGTAACTGTCCCAAAGTGATCCCACTAACACCAGAGACAATTTTATGCCTAATAGATTATGCTGTATGTCACTCTGCTTCCTAAAATAGTTTACAGAATGTTTTCACTCTTATAATATCCTGACATAATATTATTAATCAGAATTATATTCATCTGAACCTTATATTCTGGGGTTCAGGTTTTTAACTTTATTTTATTTACATTATATAACAGATGATGCTGGGACAGTTGCATGCCTATAGTCCCAGCAGCTCTGGAGGCTGAGGCAGGAGGATCATGAGTTCAAAGCCAGCCTCAGCAAAAGTGAGGCACTAAGCAACTCATTGAGACCCTGTCTCTAAATAAAATACAAAATAGGGCTGGGGATGTGGCTCAGTGGTTGAGTGCTACTAAGTTCAATCCCTGGTACCCCTCCCCCCCCAAAAAAAAGATGAATATAATTCAAGAGCACTGGGATTAGAGGCGTGCAGCGCTGCGCTGGGAAAGATATTAAGCTCTTGAGACATTTTGTACTAAAAATCAGCTAGAGACTTTTTTTAAAATTTTTTTATTTTTAGTACTGGGGATTGAACCCAGGGGTGCTCTACCGCTAAGCTACATCCTCAGCCCTTTTTATTTTTTATTTTGAGAAAAGATCTTGTTAAGATGCTTAGGGTTTTTGCTGAGGCTGGCATTGCTAAGTTGCTGAGGCTGGCTTTGAATTTATGATCCTCCTGTCTCACCTTCCAGTTGCTGGGATTACAGGCATGTACTGCAGTGCCTGCCAAGAACCATTTTAGAGCAAATTCTTCAACAGTTAGTTAAAAATTATCATTTTTTTTTAGAGAGAGAGAGAAAGAGAGAATTTTTTAAATATTTATTTTTCAGTTTTCAGTAGACACAACATCTTTATTTTATTTTTATGTAGTGCTGAGGATCGAACCGAGCGCCCCACACATGCCAGGTGAGCGCGTTACCGCTTGAGCCACATCCCTAGCCCTAAAAAAATCATCACTTTTTACAAGGATATCTCTACAAATATTTTTGGTTTCTTATGTTGGATAGTAGACTTATTTACAAGCCAGAATAAGATTATTCTCCTTGTGTTGCTCCCCAAATGAAAAATAAAAATTTAGATTTTTTTAAAGGTAGATCTGAGTTGAATCTTACGGTTTGTACCAAAAGAAACTATGGCAAAATTTATTATATCTTGACCTGAAAAAGGTCTTTGCAAATATGATACAAAATGCAGAAGACATAAAAGAAAAGTTTGAATAATGTAACTATAAAAAAAAACCTCTAAGAAAAGTCAAGACAATTGATACAGTAGGAAAAGCACTTCTGTTCATGTAACAAAGAACTAATTTTCCTAATATAGAGCGCTGTAACAAATCAAGAAGAAACAGTTAATAGAATAAAGGATGAAAGGTACTCAATTTCACTCACAAAATTAAATAAATGATTTCACATTTTAGATTGACAGAGTTAAATTTTCAATACAGTTGTTTTGGAAAAGATGTGAAGAAAAGGTACTCTCATATAATGCTAGTGGGATTAATTGATAAAGGTTTTAGTAAGGACAATTGGGTATTGTCTGTTAAAAAGCACATTATTTTTTGACCCAGTCATCTGATTCCAGCACTCTCTATATGGATGTATTTGCAGACATGCAAAGTGATCTATATACAGTATCACTCATTACAGAATTATTTTAATAATCTCTGAAGAAGTGTCTGTATATAAGTCCTTCTTTTTGTTTTGAGTATTTTATTTTCTCTCAGTTTTTTTTTCTTTTACCAGTTTTTCTAAATTCTGTTTACTGGTTATTTCAAAGTACCAAGTGAAAAATTGGATCAGCCAAAATTGTTAGACAGAAATCTGCTCTGAAAGTTTAATAATACAAATCATTTATTGAGGGGCTGGGGCTGTAGTTCAGTAGTAGAGCACTTGCCTAGCTGTGTGAGGCACTGGATTTTGATCCTCAGCACCACATAAAAATAAGTGGATAAAATAAAGGTATTGGGTCCATCTACAACTAAACATATTTCTAAAAATAATTTATTGAGAAAGAATATTGTATAATATAGTCACCAACCAGATAGTTAGAAAGCGAGGCATGGGAAATATTTTGGCAGCCAGGATCAAAGATCAAAGTCTGAATAGTGTGAATTCTTTGAAATTTTTTGAAATAGCTTTGTGACTTAGTGTATCATCAGCATTTTAAATTGTTTCTTTTTTGCTTTAAGGAATATGTATTCTATTTGTTGGGTAAAAAAAATGTGTATACATATGTGTATGTATGTATAAATATGTATAAATATACATGATTAAATTTGTTGATTTTATTGTCCCAGTTTTTGTATATTTTTACTTACTTGATTTGCCTAATTTATTAATTGTGATATGTTGAAACTTCCTACCATAATTTTGGATTAATTTCTTATAATCTTATTTGTTTTTCTGTGTTGTGAATTTGTACAAATTCGTGAATATTATTTTTATGAGTTGCCTTCCTTTTTTCCCCTAAAGATAGTACAGAAGACTCCTCCTCCTCCTCTTCTTCCTCCTCCTCCTCCTCTTAATCTAATGGTTCTGAATGTCTTCTGCATTCTTTTTTTAAAAATATCTTTATTTTTTTTTTGTTTACTTTTATGTGGTGCTGAGGATCGAACTCAGTGTCTCACATATGCGAGGCAAGTGCTCTGCCATTGAGCCACAACCCTAGCCCCAGCCTTCTTCAGTATACTACTAAATACTCTTAATAAAATAATTGAGACAAATGAAAAAGGACAATAGGCAACATTTTGAGTAGCTTATATTTCTAGAGCAAAGATTTCTCAATCTCAATGGATATAGAATTATCAGGAAGTCTTAAAATTATGACTATAGTTAGATAATTAAATATATAGAAATGATGTAATACCCGATTAGGGAGAGAAAGGTGTGTGCTTTCTTCTCCTTTTTGATAGCATTTTTTATTCCTATTCTACAGTTTGGTTTTTACCATATATTTAACTATGTGTGCTGTCTATGGACCTAATGGCTCAGATTTAAAATTGTCTAGAGAAGGAGAGAAGACATAACTACAGCTGAGAAAACAACATAAAAATTTAACAGTATATGTATTTATGTTGTGATTAGATAGTCAAGGGTTGAGAGAAAACAGTATTTTAGAAAGAATTAGTAATCAGTCTGTGGAGAACCTTGAAGGATATATTGAGAGGTTTTGACTTTATTTTGTAGTCTGATCAAAACCACTGAAAGCTTTAAGGATAAAAAAATATCAGGTAACATACTGAAAATATATACAAGATTGTATACAGGTTATATGCAGGAAAACACTTTGGCAGTGTTGAGAAAGAAATACAAAAATACAAGGTTCTGAGTAAAACTTTAGCTCATTTAAAATGCTACTTGGTAACACTGAACCTAGGAACCTTATTTTATTTTTAGTTCATTACTACATTCCCAGTCCTTATTTTTTGAGACATATTCTCGCTAAAGTTACTCAGGGTTATTAAATTTCTGAGGCTATCTTTGAACTTGAGATCTTCCCGCCTCAGCCTCCCAAGCTGCTGGGATTACAGACGTGCATCACTGTGTACTGCTAAACTAAGAGCTTTAAATATAGTTTTCCTTTAAGGTCTTTTAACATGTTACTTTTATCAGTGAGCTCCTATTAGACTGCTCTATATGAAACAACTTTTTCCTTGCACCCTACATTTATTTTTTTTTCCCCATAGCATTTATTCTGTGTGTGTGAATTGTATGTGTGTATACACACGTACACACACACATACATACATACATACATACTTGTTTGTTTCTACCATGAGGTTGTAAGCTCTGTAAGAGCAAAGACTATATTTGCTGAGTACTTCTTCCAGTGTTTAGAATAGTATTTGATTTATAACCTTTAATAAATATTTGTTAAATGAATAAATTAATATTCAAAATAAGACGATCACAATTTTTTATGTAATTTATAATGTGGGGGTAACAGTATGACAAGGTCTTGGTTCCTTCCTAGAAAATCCTATTTAAAAGTATTTTTATTTTCCTTTCACCTTTAGAATTTATATTCAGAGCACCAATCAAAATAAGCAAGCCTGGGGAACTTCGTGAGGAATATGAATGCTTGAGAAAGGTATAGTATACATATTATCATGACATTTATTTTCCTTTTTAATATTTATTTATTTATTCATTTTTAGTTGTAGTTGTCAATACCTTTATTTTTTTACGTGGTGCTGAGAATTGAACCCAGGATTTCGCATGCTCTAGGCAAGTGCTCTACCACTGAGCCACAACTCCAGCCCCGTGACATTAATTTTCTTAAGAGTAAATCAAAATAATGACATTAAAGATTGTTTAATGAGAGTATGGTTAACTAGTTTTTAAAAATTTACAATGCAGAACCTGTCTTCCTTCATAATATTTATTCTAGCCTGGTTAGATTTGGAGCTCTAATAGAAATAAACTTTAAAAACAACTTTTCAGTTGTCTTTTTAAAAATGCAAGTGTAGCTTATAGGGCCTATCACACACCTGCAACAGTAACAGTCTACCAAACAAACAAACAAACAAAAAACCCCCAACATATATTTGTGTGTATGTGTTTTTTATTTTTTCTTGGCATCTTTAACAATTCTCCTTGCTAATACTCACTTTGATTATTTTTTCTTATCTTGTAAGGTTACTCTAATTACATGTAGCTAATACTGTCTTTTTATTGCTTTTATTCTATTAAGTACTCCAAAAGAATTATAATGGAGACCAGTAAGGGGGTAGTTAAATAATTTCTTAATTAGAAAATGTTTTATATTGAGGAAGCTTTTGGCTGTATTCACATAAATCTTATTTTTGTTGTTTTCAAACTAACTGGGAACCACCTGTAGAAGACAGACTTCGGAAAGTCTAGGAATAAGATGTATGTTGCTGGATTTGTATAGCTCTTTCCCTGCACTACTACTGCTCATCTAGCTTTATAATTGATTAGGTAATCATTCTACTTAATGTTTTAAATAATCCATTTAACCTGAATTAGGCAACATAAATCAGGTGAGACAATAATGATACTGTAGCATTTTCAATAGGATTGAATTTTAAAATATGTAATAAGATCATGCTAAAGAGAAAATAATGGAAAACTGTGCTTGATTACTATATTTTCTTTGATATTCTCTTAAATGAGAGTGCCAAGTATTGATTTGATCCTTATGATTTTTTAATATTTTTACTGTGAGGTTTTAAATCATAATTTTTTTTCTATATAGGAAGAAAATATTTACAGGGATCACACATCTGAAGACCAACAGATTGTCTTAAATAAAGTTCCAAAATATGTAGATATTTACTTCTAATATGTCTTTTCAGAAACTTTGATAATATGGACATTTTAAAGCTATTAGTTTGAAGATAATCTTAAAGAGAGAGAAAACAAGGAGTTGGGGTTAGAAACCAGAGGCATAGTAAGAGTCATAGGAGAGAAACTATCCTTTTGTTTTTGTCTGAGAAAGGGACAGGGCAGGCATATTAAAAACATCGTACTTGATGGTATAATGTTGAGTGAAGCTAGGACAATCTTATTCTGTGTAAACTGGATTGGTTTTGAGAAACACTCACCTATGTTATTTTGGGTTAGTTACAAGTTAGCTCTAGCTGGGTGTGGCAGCACATACCTATAATCCCAGTGGCTTAGGAGGCTGAGACAGGAGGATCACAAGTTCAAGGCCAAACTCAGCAACTTAGGCTCTAAGCAAATTAGTAAGACCCTGTCTCAAACTGACAACTCCCAAAAGGGCTGGGAATGTAGCTCAGTGGTAAAGTGCCTCTGGGTTAAATTTCTGGTACCCCCCCCCCCCAAAAGAAAAAAACACACTCAAACAAAACCAAAAAACCTCTGGGACCCTATCTCCTACTCTAATTATTTAAGTTATCCTACATCCATTGTACAACTTGGAAAATAAACATTAAAATCATAAGATCTAAGGGCACTTATATGGCACATCCATACAAAGGAGTACTGTTCAGCAATATTAAGGAATGAATCACTGATACATGGTACCATGTGGATGATCCTCAAAAAGATGCTAAATGAAAGAAGTCAGATCCAAGAAATCATATAGTGTATGATTCTATTTATAGAAAATGTCCAGAGTAGACAGATATATAGAGACAGGTGATGGATTAGTGATTGATTGGAACAGGGGGTGGGAACAAAAATTAGTGGTAAATAAACATGAAGGATATTATTGGAGTGATAAAGATCTCTAAAACTGACTTGTGATGTGTTCCACGACTTAGTAAATTTACTAAAAATTGCTGAATTGTATACTTGAAATAGATGAATTATATGATATGTAAGATATCATATAATAAAGTTGTAAAAATATTAAAAGGCACTAAATTTGGGTGGAGAACTAGATAGAGAAAAAAGATGTCTCTTAGGATGCATATTTTATGAACAAAGCAGTAATTATCAAGATGAATCCTCTGGAGAGGAACACCTTTAAATGTTTCTAATGAGCATGGGATAGTAAGTGGATGGTAATTATTTCTATATAACTCATTATTAATTTGATATGTAACAAACTACCAATATACTTTTTATTGGGCTAGGGCTGTGGCTTAGTGGTAGAGTGCTTGCCTAGCATGCGTGAGGCACTGGGTTTGATCTTCAGCACCACATAAAAATGAACAAAATAAAGGCATTCTGTTCATCTACAACTACAAAAAATTTAAAAAAATATATATATATACTTTTTATTTAGTAGACTTTGTTTTTTTTAAGTGACAATAAAAACTTTTATGAGGGTTATAAGAAGTTTAACAAGAAATTTTATTCCTATAATTCTAGTTTGCTTAAAGGGCATTAATTTTATTTGATAATCATAGAATCTACTACTCATGGGAGATTTGGGGAAAACAAGCTTGGAATGACTGGACTACTATGGAATGAAAGTGATTCTTTTCAGACACTGAAGCAGGTTCTGGGGCTTACTATATAGATAGAGAGGTGGGTTTCTCAATGTTTTTTCTAACCAAGGACCTTTGAGTTTTATGCTTACTGAAGTTAGTATGAGTTTCTAAATTTTAAGATCCTAAAGATAGGTTTGTATTTCTAAATATGTTAATTTTTCTTTTCTTCCTGTTATGTGTTGTACTTAATTTTGCTTTTTTAAAAATAAATTCAGAAATATGCAAAGTGTGAAAGTCCCTCTTTACTTTTCTTCCCACTCTCTTCCCCAAGGTTATTGGTATTAATATTGTATATCTTAGACTGTTTATGTGTTATACACATGCACACACACATTTAGTCTTCTTTAGTTTAAATGAGATCATGATGTGTATTCATTTATTAATCAGATTTTTGTGATGCCCTAGTATGGGCCAGACACTAGGGATATAGTGCTGAAGAAAACATTGTTCCTTTACCTCAGTGAGATTCCTTTCTAGGGATAAAGACAGAAAATAAATAAGCAAACAAGTATTTAACATATAAAAATAAAGCAGGGTAAGAAGAATTGTAAGAGTGGGAGGAGTCACAAAAAGTCAGTTTCATATAAAAAGTTAGAGGTCTCTTGGAGAAGACACATTTGAGTTGAGATGTGAAAGAAATGAGGGAACAGCATTCCAGGCAAAGGAAGCAACAAATGCAAAGGCTCCGTTATAGTTTAGATCTAGAATGTCCTTCAGAGCCTTATGTGTTGAAGGCTTGATTCCCAGTGCAGAAGTATTTAGAGGTGAGGCTCTTTGGGGGAAGTGATTGAATCATGAGGGCTCTACCCTCATCATGGATTAATCAATCCATTGATAAATTCACAATTTGATGGCATTATTAAGAGCTAGTAGAAACTTTAGGAGGTGGGGCCTAGTTAGAGGAAATAGGTGACTAGGAGAATGTCCTTGAAGGGTATATCATATCCCTGGCCTCTTCTTTTTTCCCCCACTTCCTGATTGCCATGAATTAAGTAGCTGTGCTCTGCTGTGTGTTCCCTGCCATCATGTTCTGCCTTACCACAGGCCCATAGCAATGGGCCCAAGTGGCCTTGGACTGAAACCTTGAGCAACTAAACCTTTCTCCTTTGTTTTTCTCAAGTATTTTATCACAGAAGCTGACTAACACAGGCTCTGAGACACAAAAAGTTTGGCTTGTTCAAGTGTTAAAGAGTTTCAGTATGTCTGGAGCTGAATAGTGGAAGCAGAATTGTGGTGGGATTTAGAAAGAGATCAGTTGGGAGAGATTGAAGGACCAGGTCAGAGAAGGCCTAGTTTATCTTTTAAAGGACCTCAATTTAATTTAGGTGTGATGGGAAACAGGCAATACAGTCTCACTTATAATTTTAAAAGGTTTTATGTTGCTATGAGAGAAAAAAAACTATAGTGAGCCTAGGAGTCAGAATTTGTATTTACTGTAAATAGCAGAAATCTCTAAATAAATTTGAAATTTCTGCTAAGTGAGTAGATTTTAGCTACTCTAGCCAAAAAAAAAAAGGATAACTATGTGAAATAATGGATATGTTAACTTGCTTACTGTAATAAAGTTTTACTATTTGTATGTATCCCATAATGTCATATTGTATACCTTAAATATGCACAATAAATTTATTTCAAAACAACAACAAATGAGGGTTTTATTTTCATCAAGTGTAAGAATATGAGAAGTAGGCAATATAGGGCTGATAAGATAGCTCAGTGACATTAGAAATTTGAACTTGCCAGGTGTAATCCCAGCAGTTAGGGTGGCTGAGACAGGAGGACCTCGAGTTCAAAGCCAGCCTCAGCAAAAGCGAGACACTAAGCAACTCAGTGAGACTCTGTCTCTAATTTTAAAAAATGCAAAATAGGGCTGGGGTTGTGGCTCAGTGGTCAAGTGCCCCTGAGTTCAATCCCCAGTATCAAAAAAAAAAAAAAAAAAAAAATTGTAATTTGAATTTTTGTTTTTCTGTTGAGACATCTTCAAGAGTGCCTGTCTCCTTGTAATATGAGATGGCTGATTTTTCTCTAGAAGCACATCCAGGCTGTAGGCAGAAGTCAGCTGAATTGTTAATTCAAGTTTAATTTAATTTAAAGGAACTCAAATTTAAGTTCCTTTAAAGAGCTTTTCCTAAAAACCTCCTGCCTTTACCTAAATTTTTGTTTTTGT